CCCCAAAACCCCAAAACCCCACTAATAAAATAGGCAAGTAGATTAGAAATATATTGTAATTAAAATTTTTCTTGAGAATGAGTATTTTTTTTTAAAATGTTTCATATATTTCCTCAATTTCATTGTGGCAACTACTGCTATATTTCTACTTAGGCTGATTCGTTATGAGATAATACTGCATTATCGACAGAGACCCATTCAAGCTTTTGTGGTTTAATTCCTTTCATTAGCATGTAACCCACTATTTAATCTGGCATTTCTTTTAATACTTCCTCTGCTAAAACTCCAATGTCCTGATTTTTATAGTCTTAGAACTTCACAAATTAAACAATATCTCTAACGGCTTTTCCGCTTTTCCCTTGCAAGACCTTATCATCAGAATCGAGATATTTCATTTTTTCGAAAGAATCATCCCCAACACCTATGATTATAATACTGACTGGAAAAGCGCTTAATTGGACGACCATATCAGTAGTGTCAGTCATATCTACAATATCTCCATCAGTCAAAATAACCATGCAGTGATACATTTAAAATTGAATGCATTACTAGACATATCCAAGTAAAGCTTTCAAGATTGGTGCCATATAGGTGGGTCCACTTAAAGAAGTGTTATTAACTGCTACCTTATAAGCATTAAATACATTTTGAAGTCCAATAATTTAAGGGTTTGGCTGGCCATTCAAATTAAAGCAATGAGATACTGATGTTGCTCCTAAAAATCTTGGCACACCACCGAATCCAAAAGTAGCAAACTAACAGTTTAAAGCGTATGGTTCAACTACTCTTCCAACAGCCCATATAGCTGATTCGTATTAGTTCATTACTCCAGACTGGGGATTTTAGTAATGAAGAGAATTTAACTGAGATTACTCCCCATTGGAAGCAGTGAAATCAACGGCAAAAGACATATTTACTGCCCAGCCACTTCTTAAATATTCCATAAAATTGGGCATCTCTATTACCACAAACTGATCGATAATAAGTGCACCTCCGTTCTTTCCTTTTTTTGAGAGATTAAGTCTCTTATCTCCGCTTTTTAATTTATTTACTGTGGTTTCAGCTTCTCCGTAGAATAAGTCATTTCCGCTTTCGATTTGTGAGTAAACTGAAAATTTAATTGGCAAATCATGGTCGCCATTGCAAATCTAGGCAACCTTTAATTTGATCGGATTCCAAACTGGGTTGATATTGCTCAGCTTTACATCGCCCTTGAATATCCTAACGAACTCTTCTCTGTTTTCCTGTGATCTAGCTCTTGAAATGATAAAATAGGGATCATTGACAGCGCTGCAACACATTGAAGACAAACTCACCAAATTTGCACTCAATTTTATTCTTGCCTCATCATTAGAAGAATTGATACTATCTAATCTAACAATTAGTTTTCCTCTAGATTTAGTATGCTTATCGTCTTTTAACTCAGAGACAAAAGTTTACTTTAGTGCTCCGCATATCTTTCCTATAGTTGTTTCTACTTTACCAATGAATTCTTTGTGCCCTTTGTTGTCATCTATGTCATAGGCCATAAATCTCACAAACTACTCTTTTTCAAAGAAATAGTCACACTCAATAAAATTTGAGAAATCAGGGTTAAGGTTGTTATTGATTCTCTCTGTTTTTCCTACAAGTGTCCAATTGGTGTTTTTGTCTTTAAGGTAGACCTCGACTTAAGGATCTGACTTGCTCATTACGTCTAGATTCACCAATCCTCTAGCAGAAATGTAGAGTGCAATTCTCTGCTTAAGATTAGGTGGCATAATATTGTTTGAAGACTCCATTTAATCTATCTGTAGTAATCTAATTGAAACTGGTTGTTTAAACTATTTAACTTTAAATTTATAGTTATTCAATAAGATTTAAAAGCAACTAGGTGACTTTAGTTTTATTAAGTATTTAAACTATCAAAAATTTAACTTATCAATATGAATAAAGCTTTATCGAAACATGGGGTTTTGGGGTTTTGGGGTTTTGGGG